GGAGGTAGGTAATCCACAGACACCCCAGCACCACAATACCATGAATATGTCAAAACTTAGGTTGATAAAAGACCCCTTTCCACACAGTGAGGACAACCAGACTCCATATGTTCAGTGGTCAATATCACAACTACCAATGTCCCAAAACTAATTTAGGATGGGTCAATTCATTAGAAATGTTTGCTTTAATGTCAAACAAAATACATGACTTACAACAATTTTCCATCTAAGAACAGGACACGGCAGGCTTAACTACTTGATGCATAAAATAAAGACTGTACAGTCCCCACAGCATGCATGTCAGATGGGAACCACAAACACCTGAGTGGGCTGTACTTACAACTATGAAGAGAAACCGGGTTTTAAGAGTGAAGTGCAGAGCAAGCTATAGGAAACCAAGCAAGACCTGCAACTGACATGCACATTCACAGAGGCAGCCCAGCTGATGGTCTGACCACAGCATTCGAAACCGAACAACAAGAAACATGTGACCACAAGATTAGTAGTTGTGTGTGCTAATCACTGCACCAGATCAGCCCCCAAATGTCAAGATAAAGGACCCTTTTCACGCTGGCTTCTGGTGCTAAACCCATATCTGTACAGCTCAACTGTCACTCAGACCATATGGTCATTACTTGCTGCTAACACACCACACTGGCTACCTCAATTATTTCCCAGGACATGCTGCCTGGGTACTCATTTCAGGCCGGGACAAGTTTGAGTGCCCTAGGTGAGTAATCAAAATAGCTCTGATGCAGATCTGACCGCAAGACTTTCAGGCCAGCAGGTAAACATCTAACCACTCCTTGAATTTGATATCAATCATGTAACTGGATAATACATAAGATCAATTACTTGTGTACATGGTGCAAATGTAAAAACAAATAAAATACAACAGACAATACAGTCTTCAGTAGGCCATCGTTATGAAACACATATACAATATGACACATTTCTTATCTGATACGATCTTTTTACTTTTTGTTGGTGTTGTCTTCCTCAAACCTGCCAGGTGCATAATTTAGATGCACCTCCTTTGCTGCAGGGTCTGTAAGCTTAGGCACAGCTAATGTGCTTTATAATTCCTAAATAACCTGTCTGATTCCAGTGATCTGACAAAAGACTGCTTTGCGCTTATTTCAATAGTGGTATGGAGCACCGACTGCTGAGCCAGCATTGGCAAACTACTGAATGTAAAACTGCATGCAACCAAAAAATGCTGGGGTTTCGTCTGCAGTTTCTTGTAAAGCATACAAAACTTATGTAAAAAAAAAAAAAAATTAGCTCCAATATGAAAATGTTTATTATCCGAAACAATTTTTCTATAGTAACTTTTTTGTTTTGTTTCGTTTAAACCTCTTCAAGTGGGTTTTTGGCTGCACCTAGTTTGTTCAGATTTGAGAAATTTAACCATCTGATGAAGACTTTTTACTTTGCTCGTATTCCCTCAAACATTTAAACTTTGAACTGTGTGTCATCATCACAGTTAAGGTTGGCTACAGTAATCACTGCTGACTTGAGAAAAATTTGGTGGTGAGGACCGAATCCTCTCCCTAAAGTGGCTCTCAAGAACATTTTGTTTAACTTAATCTAACACTAGTCCAAAAGGATCTTAAAACTGTTGCACTCACTCAGCACCCTCTAAGCCACAGAGCTCCACAAAAACCCTTCAAGCGAGTTTATAAAGATCACCTAACTGCTTGTACATGTACATTTTTGTTCGAAACCCTGCCAGAACCACAAGGTACGCCCACAATCTGCAGACAATTGATTAAAACTATTCTGAAATTTAATGATGTTCTAAGAGATTCCCATGTTACAGTCATCTGCCTTCCCCGTGTGGGTTCCGGGGCCCTATTATAGGGAAAACAAGAACAGACCCACTGCCTACACAAAAGCATGTCGTAAGAGTCAACTAATTGGGAGCTTCCTTCGAAGTCGGAGTGTGTCTGCCAGAGAGGCAAGGAACCAACAGTCTGCATACAAATTAGTCAGATCTGTCAAACAGACGCACACGCAACATTCAGGTTCTGGAACAGGACTGCAGTCCAGAACCGGACAAGCAACCAGAACCTTCCGCCAGAGTTTACAGCTGGTGACCGCAAAGAAGAAGAAGAAGTAATCTGCCTGAATCATCCAAAGCAAGGACTTAAACGTCTGACAGCCAAAGAGCGCTTTGAGAAACTCTTTTAATGAACAGAGCGCAAGCGTGAAACTCCACACATCTACTAAATATCGGCCGTAGAAAGTCAATCACAGATATATCCATCTTACTTAAAGAGTTAGCAACTGGCCATGGCATACAAATCTATCTTCCCCATGAAAGGGTTATATGAAACATGAATATATATATGTATATAGAAATAAATAAAATTAGGTGGGTAAAAACACATAAACAAACCAAAAAAGACCCAGTGTAGCACTCATTCACTTTAGAAGTTTAGACAAGGAAGAAGAAACAAAGATAATTTATATGCTGATTCAAAGCTCGTTTGTTTCTAATCTACACATCACATTACATTCAGCCCACATAAATCTACTATTAATAATTAGCTCTTAATTATAACTTTATAAAGGCTTAAAAAAAAGCAGAATATATTATAATTATTGACAGTGTCCGTAAAACTAAACATACACAGCTTTATGTGACAATCAAAGTCTTTGACATAAGCTCTTCCCTAACACTGTCAATGATACCCTGGCTGCCTCGGACACTTAGTTCATAAGTAAAATAATAAATCCATTTTGATGTGGATTTGAACTCATTACCAATAAGCTTTACTCTTATGGCAACTTATTGCTCTTGTGCTATCTACTTCATATCAGTTTCTTGTGAATAAAAAAGGAGCCACCAAACATTGAACTTAATATCCCCAAAACTGCCTTAATAATATTTTGAAACAATATTTTCCCACTCCAAATTTATAACAATGCAGACACAAACAATACAGTGCACAATTTATGAAAGTAAATTCTCCACTCCTTTACTTTCCAGGACTTTTACCTGGCAGCCATTTTAGGCTGGGTCAACCTGGGAGCCAAGGATGTGCATTAAAACGATCTATAACCATTGCATCTCAATGCACATCTCGCTAGTGGAAGGGATTAACTGTGTGCTGTATTATATGCTGAAGTCATGTGACTGATGAGATGCTGCAAAAGATGCCCAGGCATTACATTTGGCAATGCATTATTTAATATTGTCCGCAATATTTAGTTGACCTTTCTTCATAAATTGTCCCCGATGTAAAAGTAACATCAGTCTGTCCCCACCTTCTGCCATGTGTACTGTTAGAAACGCATGACATTGTTTCTTCATGCCGACACGATAAACTCTAAACAACAAAGCCTTTGGTTAGACACTCAGGAAACGGTTCACCCATGAAAGAATTTACACGGTGTCCCATAAATTTGCATACATGGGAATTTTTTTAAAAACTAAAACCGTTTTTATTTAAATAATATGCTTTTTTCTATGACTACCAGGGAGCTGCCATGTAGTGGCTGGATGCTCTCCTGTGGATTGGAAGGTAGCAGGTTCGGATCCTGACGGTTAGGATGTTTTCCCCCTTCAAAATTGACCTTCGCTCCCAGGTTGACTCAGCAAATCGGTACCAGGTAATATGCTGGGAAGTAAAGGCAGCCGTTGTAATGCTGACCACATCATCCACCAAGTGCCGATTGGTCTATAAAATATAGGTCCAGCCTTATACGCCACAAGGCATGGCAAATGGTCCTTTACAAAACTAGCACTGTGATGAAAACACATTTTGATGCAAGCCCTCCACCGCTGAAGTACATGTATGAAAACAGCTGGCGTTATGCTTGTAATGGCATTGGGGATACGTTTATTTGCCCTATGTATGCAAGGGACACCCTATACATAGAGATAACTAAAGATAATGAATACCTTGGGGCATATGCTACTAATCTCACTTCTGGTCTATATGTTAAATATCATGATGGTGGCTTTTCTTCCCAGAACATTTCACACAACCCATTTTTTTCAAAAAACATATACTCTGTTAACAGGGCTTCCCGTCCAGTGTGGAGGAAAGGCTGGCTGGCCTGCTGACACTCAAAAGTAATTTGTTTCTAGCCACGGTTTGCAGAATAAATTTCCCTATTTCTGAGCTAATAGTCTAAAGGCTCTATCGCTCAGCTACTGAAATGAGTGCTCGGTGTGACAATGTGAGCTGTGGATTCCCCATAGAATGTTTTTTCCTGAACATCAGTGGCAAGTTTGTGTTGCGAACTTTGTTAAAAATAATGGGTGGCGGATTATGTTCGAAATGGTGTGTACTTTTGCAGTATTATTTAGGAAAATTAAGGATTTCATGGTTGACTGCTTGATTAACATGAGCAACAATTCTGTGGGTGAGTGTTGGCATTTCTGACGGCTGCCTTATAAATTTACTTTGTACGAGTTTTAAAACTTAGGCAAGGACTGATATTTTCATCAACAGTTTTTCAAATGTGATGGTGAAAGACATTCAGTGCCAGTGCCACAGGAATACAACTGTTAGCAGCACTGAAAACCCATTAATGAATCTCTAAGCATATGGTGCGAGACCCCCACTTTGGAATCTTTATGGTCAATATCCCATTTGTGGCTTTTCTTCCATCAAAATCTCATGCTACCTACCTTTTATAACAACATTTACTCTGACAGTACAATCCTTGGTGTAAAGGGTGGGGGTTGGGGGAGAGAAATACTCATGCAGGAATCTGAAAGCAACTAAGGCCAAAAATAAAAAATGCTTGGAATGTGTCATTTTTAAGGGTTTATTCTGTGTAAAAACATCCTTGGATACCTACTTTCTTCAAAACCTACTATCTAAACTACCAAATATGTCTGGTCAATTAGAACAGCAGATAAACATCATCAAGATTAGTATAAAATAACTAAATCTGGTGATTTGGAGACCAAAGAAAAATGGACAACAGAAACAAAACAGCCTAGGGACACATGACATAATAAACATAAGCATGCTAGCGTATTAGGAGCAGCACTGTTTCCGGCCCTGCGCCGGGTTGACTGTGGGAGCTACGGTGATGGACTGGACATTGGATCCTGGTGATATTTCATCGTTTGGGGAATCTCGTATCTGTTTCTGTGAAACAATCTTGTAGATTTCTGGGGATAAGTTTCAAAAGGATACTACAGATTACAGTGAGAAAAATAATCTAACGATCTAAAGTCGAGACAACTGACTTCACTGCATCACGTTTTATCCAATACTGCTTGATCTCTCTCCATAAAATAGCCAGCCACTTACTAAGCCTGTAGCACAAAACAAGAACTCTGTGGCTCCAGGAACAAATCCTGGAGGATCTCCATTAAAACTGCATTTGTGAACTGAACAATAACCTCAGAAGCTTGATGCTAATGTCTAAGCCAGGTTTTCATAAAGATCTGTGGTAGCGTGTTGTTATTTACATGTGAGATATGAATAATTAGCAGACTGGCTGAAAAAGACCTATTCGCGGCATAGATGTTTTAAGAAGAATGCAAAAAATATGGAAAGATAGAAAAAAAAAATGATGCACTTCTCTGCAGTCTCCTTCAAGATAATTAAAAACAACAGACTGGCGGCAGTAATGAGGCAGACACTCCACATTTATTAGACATGTTATGAGAAGTAATGAACTCATAAACTGGTGACACCTGGCAATACTGATGGAAAAAGAGCATGGGATAAATATCTGGATGGCTTTGCCCCATTATTGGGGCAATTTTTCTTCTATATTTACCCTTGAAAGGGCCAGCTGGCATGTTATATTGTGGTTTATAGCTAGGCTGCGATGCTGGCACTTCCTGTGCAGTATCTTGCTCTTGCGACCATGGGTGACACGGGTGTTCAAGCATGGATAGAGTATTTTGTGACAGGCCTATTCTCTATTTCATTTGCGGCTGTAGTATTGTGATGCTGACTTGTTACCCGTATTGGCTTCCAAAACAAACAAACAAAATCTGCTTTGGGGATACAAAAACTTTAGCAAAGACAGTGAGGAATCCAACACCCTAGAACCCAAAGAATGAATACGCATTTCCAACATGTGGTTCATTGTTGCTGACTCCTTTGTCTCAGCATCTCTGGAATGCAGCACTCAGTGTCTGCCCTCTTAATACTTCTTTCTCCACTAGTCACTGCCAGCTATGTCATTTCCTTTCAGTGGTTCTGACTAGTGCTACTTACCGCCTGGATTGACAATAGTACATAATTTTGAAAGAGTGACGTACAGATTCAACTACTTTACCATGGAAACCCCCCATGTCTGAACAATAAAAATCAGTGAGATTCATATAAAACCTCGTAGTCAATCTACATCTTCTTCTCTCCCCTCAGTTACCTTATTACGTTGATCTTTAAGGCTGTTTTTCGAGTTGTTTTATCTTTTGTCTGTGGTCTTTCCCTAGCTCAGTGTTCATTATACCTCTTCAGCACCATCATTAGTTCATTAGTTGTAGTAAGGATCCATGTTTGACATCGTTACTACAGAGCTGGTCAAAAGCTAGTTGCGTATCTTTTACATGATGTTGCAGAACCAACCCCATCATAATTGATGGCTGTTGTGATGTTTCTAGGCACATTTTTCATTCAGTGGTCTGCCACTGCTTAGCCAAAAATTAGTTCATATTAGATTTGCCTTGGTACAATCTCTTGCAAGTGAATAAAAAAAATAAAGCTGATAATGACATACCCGTTAGAATGTTATGAAAGGCAGACTCAACATTTGTAGAATCTAAAGCTGAGGTCTCAATGAAAGACAGATTGTTTCTCTCTGAAAAGTAAAATGCAATATATAAATATATACACACACTCAATAACAAATTACAAAACAGTTAGACCCCACAATGAAGGAATAAGCACAGAAGAAACTCAACTGTCATTTAAGCATCTGAACTTTGCTGAAATAAAAGGTTACTGCTGTATGCCTTCACCATCATATTTTGCCATCAGACATCACAAAAGGATCTTAGTCTCAGTCCAGTCCTCCACTGTGTTCTATTCTGTGCTTTCAATATCATGGGCAGGATTCAGTTGTGAGAAAAGTGGTCCAAGTGACAAGAAGGGATAAAGTTTGCAATCAGACAATATATCAAGATCTTGAAACCCAGGCTTCACAAACTCTAGTGGATCAGTCAGAGTTATGATGGTTCTGGACATGCATGCAGAATGATAGAAAATTGGCTACTATTGCAAGCACAGGAAGCCAAGAAGCAGGGAGACCTTCAGGGCCTGCAGAAGAAAACATCCAACAGTTCCTGACAGAGGACTGGAATGGACCAAAGCCAGAAAAGAAGATGCTAACAGAAAAGTCTGGCGTCTCTCTGGCAAACCTCAACACCCCAAGGTAGAAGAGGAGCGACTAAGTAAGTAATTCAGTCCATTCCTCTTCTGATCCGGATGTGCCTAATCATGCATGTCTCAATACCACATAATTCTTTTATCCCCACAGTTCAATCATCCTTAAAACAGACAGCCATTTCCAGTGAGATTATGGAGCAGAATGCTGGAGAATGACCAAAAAGGATGTACACAAGCTGTCCACCTTCCACCACACATGTCTATGTAGAATTATCAAAATTTTCTGGCCAGATACAATCTCAAACACTAAACTACTTCAGGTCACAAACCAAGAAACTCTAGACAGTATGATAACCAAGAGAAGATGGAAATGGCTTGGCCACGTTATGAGAATGAATCCTGATATACCTGCCAAAACAGCTCTCAAATGAATACCAGAGGCAAAGAGAAAAAAGGGGCGCCCAAAATCAACATGGAGATGAACGATAGAAAGTGACCTGAGTGTGACATCTTTGACATGGAAAACTGCATTGAAGATTGCACAGCACAGGAAAGCATGGAAGAAAGTCCTCTCTGAAGCCTCATGTGCCACTGGGCGTAACGAGAACTGATGATGATGATTTCCAGTGAGAATTAATACTTGGTCTTTTTCTTAGCATTCACTCCAGTGAAAAGTTCCGGTCATTCTCCATTTCTGGACTTTTGTTTTGTTCTAGAACTTGAGTTCCACCTGTACGTCCATTTTACAGATACTGCTTATTTGTATGCGGACTGTTGGTTCCTCACTTCCTGGCAGATGCAGTCCGACTTCAAAGAAAACCTCTGATTAGTTGCCCTGCACAACTGCTTGTGAGAGAAGCAGTGGGTCATCCCCACAAACCCGTGAGGGGCCCAGAAACCCATACGGACCTGAGGCCATTGGAATAATATGAGTGAGTTTTCTCCATTTAGTGTAGTAATGTGGTCATAATAGAGCTGTGGCTAGATGTTTGCATGCGGGCCCAAAAGTCAGCAGCCTGATCAGCGCCGATAAAGGCTTTATAACTGATTTGGTTCTAAAACAGGCAGAGGAAATGTCCCGCGAAGTAAATGCAAACAAAATTTTGTTGACCATTTCGCCTGTAAAATACCAATGGCCTAGAGAAGCATGGGTCTAGCACCCCATGTGCTACTGGTGGCAGTCTTAAAGTAAACTAACACATTCTTTCTCTTAAGGTCACGTCGTGTGGCACTGGTAGTCATGTCTATCCACAAGCTTGTCTCAAGTACTTTCAATCAATTCTGACAGATGATCTGCCATGATGTCAAACAGTGCTGCATCTCTCTGTCTACCTTTTTTCTCACCATCACAGTGTGCTCCACTAGACTGAATCCTTCTGAGGTGGGCTTCTCTGACTTCTCTTCATGGGTCAGTTTCTTTCAAGACATCTTCATGACTCTTTATTTGCCCAGGGTGCTATCATTCGTCTATAAGACTGCACCTCCATCATTTCCAAGTAACTTTTCACCAATCGTCCACGATTCACTTCTATTTATCAGGACTTACATAGCTCTTTCTCATCCCAACTGACAAATACTGCACAGAATTTTCTTATATTTTTAAAAACAAATTTTGTTTGAGTTAATCAACATTGTAGTAACCAGGTCATTCCCAAAATCACAACAGTCCCTATCTTCAGCAGCCAGCATCCAATTCCACTGGTGCTAGTAGCAATCTGACTGTGTGTCCATATTGCATTTATTTTGATTGTTGACCTCATCCCTAAATCACACACCCCCATCCCCCCTCCACCCCCTTATTCTCTTCAAACCATGATCTATTCTTGCAACCATGCCGTTCAATTGCCCCCATAAGGCCTCTGTAACATCTGCCTTTTCATGCATCAACTTTTCACCAAGTTATGCAGAACCAAGCACTTAAAAACGGCACCCATCTGAAATACTAAAACCATCATCATCATTCAGTGGGTCCCTTAAAGAACATTGGTCTTGTCACCGCATGCCTGAAAGTCTATTTTTCTCTAGCTAATTCTTCAGCCCTATGTGCTTTCACAGCCAATGCATTTTTAACATCTTGTATTCACCCCCGTAAAGGTCTGTCTATACCCTGTTTTCCAAAAAAACAGCACCCGCCATCACCATTTTCTCCAGGCCACTGTGACATTTAGAATGGTCAAAATACCTCTACTACAATCACAACATTCACAATTCAGTCAGAACAAATGCATAAGAGTAACAGCACTGGTCTACTCACCAGCAAATGCCTTGGCTTCATCAGTTGGCACAGCACGCAGATGTCTCAAGTCACTCTTGTTGCCAACTAGCATGATGACAATATTCTGGTCTGCATGGTCCCGCAGCTCCCTCAGCCACCGCTCCACATTTTCATAAGTCAAGTGTTTAGCAATATCATACACCAGCAGGGCCCCGACTGCTCCTCTGTAATACCTGCGCAAGCAATACCCACAAACAAACAATATATATATATGTGTGTGCACATATATATATATACACACAAACATATATATCCACACACATACACAAATGTGCAAAACACATTTGTGTGTGTGTACACAAAAATACGCACACAAACATACACAAATGTGCAAAACACATTTGTGTGCGTGTGTGTGTGTGTACACAAAAATACGCACACAAACATATATACCACACACACACACACAAATGTGCAAAACACATTAAAAATGAACTTTACCACACACACAAAACAGGAAACTTTAGGCCACACACAAAACAAAAAGACATATGTAAGCTTCATATAATTCACAAACAGAACTGGTTAGCTGCATCGGTTTGAGAACCAGCCACATGCTGTGTTGAGAGGCAGAAGAAGCATCTAGGGCTAAAGTTAATAGACAATGATTTCATGCAGCAAAGCCGAGTATATGAGGCAGGGAAGCAAGCCTTCAGCGAGCTTCAGAACCTGCTGCACAGACAACATGATAGTAACAGAATCATAAAGCAGCTGAGAAAGGTGAACACAGCGTCACAGTGACGAGCACTGCTTCTGAGATGGCCGGTAGTTAGGATGTTTTGGATCTTTTATTCAGAGCCTGCTGGTGTGTAGGGATCCAGAAATCACTCAAAACTCAGAGGAAAGGGGAGACAGATACATAATCAAAACTACTACTGGTGCCATCACAACTGAAAGTGGGTGCTCACTGGAATGTCCAGAAATCTGTTATAGTGTTCAACAGGAAACTGGAGTATGTCATTGCAACAACAAAAAGCAGGAGGGGAAAACAAAGCACAGGTAGACAATGAGAAAAGATGTTAAGTTTGGCATCATGGTACCAACAACAGCAAATAATCTATACAAAAATGATTGCAGTACGTTATAGAATGTTGTGCACAGCCTTGTAGAAAAAGTTCTGATTTAAAACACAATTTGCATACAAGTACTCACGCGCTGGTGATGGCCCGATACCGCTCCTGGCCAGCAGTGTCCCATATTTGAGCTTTTATTGTTTTGCCATCTACCTGGATACTCCTGTGGAGGAAAATACATCAGAAGTGAATTGTAGGTTTCATTTATGTTTATATTCACATCTTCAGTTGCTGTGTGACAGATATGTCACTGGAAGGGCAAAATGTAAGATGTGCCTCATGTACGACCCTCTGGGGAAAAAAAGGGAAGAACGACAAATATCAAAACTGATGAACACCAGTTAAAGCAGGCGAAGGATTTTACATATCTGGGGTGCATTTTCCCCCCGGAAGACAGGGGAATTAATCAAGAAATCCAAGAAAGCCAAGTTTTAGGCTAAACGGCACCAATTCTGAAAGGCAGGCATGTGAACAACACTAAATACAATAGTCTTACCAACGCTATGCAATCAATGTCACATGTGGATACCGTCTTCAGAAGATTGGAATCAGACAGGGCACCACGGACAGCAATGTTATACAGATACAATGGTAACATAGCTAGAGGTCGACCATGCAGAATATAGACCGCAGAAATATCAGACACTAAAAAGTACTATATACGAAACAAAGAGATGGGCCCGCCCCGGAGATCTCTTCCTGCTCTGACATTAAGAGGCATTCCAGGAGTAGCAAAAAGAAGAAGAAAACAAAATTTGTTTGTTCGTTCATTATCTTCTTCTTTCAAATGGTGTCTTCTAATTTAGACTATTATGTCGGCTGACAAACTATGTTGTGGTTTCTAGCTAGGCTGTAACATCTGTGTCTTTCTGCCCAACACATTCAGTATCAGCAAATCCTATATTAGTTGCCTTTATAAGAGGAGCCCAGGATGGAGTTCTGGAACCCACAAGGGGAACCAGTTGTCACAAAAGTTCCACCTCTGCCACCAATGTCCCCATAAATATCACATTACCAGCTCGTCTATAGTGACCTGCTAATGTGACGCACATTTAATGCTAATGGCTGTTTTTGCGCTTGCGCAAAACATTCAGGAGACCAGGAAATAAATGCATTAAATATATCACTGGGCGGGGGGTTTCCATTTGAGACACTTGGCTTTTTTTTTTTAAAAACCACGCTTACAGTAAATTCTCCTGTACGTCTCACTAGTAACTAGTAGGCGTCACAGCATAGGTCACCCAACACCCCCCCCCCCCCAGTACAGAAATGCTACTCTCTATTCATTTTTACTGATAACTCTATTCATATATCTTTATATATTCCAGTTTGAAAAAGATTGTGGGTACATTTAAAAAAAATTTATTAGTGACCTTGTGCGAAACTTGTTTTTAAAGAATGTTTTATTGAATTCTCATGGGTCATTACCTTTTTTTTTTGTTCCTGGGATGAGAGGGTTATAAAACTTGAAATCTCCCCCCCCCCCCCCAATTGTCTGATTTTATTTTAAATTGTTGAAGTTAGAGAAATATATCGTCCGAAGGTGTCTTTAAAATTGGGTAGAAAAATAACTAGTCTGGGTGTGCCAATTAAAATAAAATAAAGAAAAATAGATGGTCTGAGTGTCACAAAATCGTAAGATTAAAAATATGCAGTCTTACTTAAAAATTACATGTAAAAAATTAGTATTACTTAAAATTACATGTAGAAAAATAGACAGGCTGAGCCTTACTTAAAACTACACAGGGGAGGGAAAAAACCGGATCTAAATGTGTTTTAAAATCAGAAGCAGAAAAGATAACACAGGTGAGAGAAGGCTTAGAGAGACAATATGGCCACTTCCAAGTAAAATGAGACTGGTAGTATATGGAACATGAAAGCCATTATCATCATCCTGCTGTGCTGTCTTGCCACATAGGGTTCACAGTCCAGGCTCCCATTTCCTTTCTACTCCTTCGGTTTCCAGCATGTTCGAATGTGTTTGAACAGCTCTGCCAATTTTTAGTCTTCAGATAAGTTTAATATTGAAATCATGATGAAATGTACTTCAAAGGGCTTACTATTCTAATGGATACATGGAGAATTTATACATTCTCAAGTTATTAAACAATAATGTGTTTCTTGCGGTTTTACTGTTAATAAGAACATTCTGTTTACCAAATTTTGATAATCGGGAAACCATGATGTGTGTAGTAACATACTAAACAAAGACAAACAAGGTCTGCTTTGGCTCTGTTCCCATAGCCGATGAAGCGCACCACTACTATGTCCACTTCAAACAATGGCCTCCAGCTTATGCCTGACTACACCGGCCAAACAGAAAAGCCGGCTGATGAAATCAGAAGCACAATATCTGGCCCGAAGTCCACGCCAACTTCAACTTTCCTTTAGCATAATGGGCAGATCAAAGCTAGAAAAGAACTGAACACATCCCGTGCTTCAACGCACAATGTTTTAATATCTGGCCAATAAACCACAGATATATCTTCACCTAAACATTGTGAACATGCTAAATCAAACATGTGTGATCAAAAGGTCTAGCACACAGTGCATCGGGTACCAATTTCAATACAAATGTTGTACATCACTGCTCTGAACTTATCATTAGAGGACAGACTAACTCTTCTTATTACTAAAAAGTGCTCAGATTATGTTTCACAATTTACGGATGAAAACACTGTATTTAAAAATGAAATAAATTCTCACGAGAAGAAAATGCACATCTGAGAGTAATCATCGATACCAGGTCCAAAGTCGGCACTCCTCACAAAGAGAATAAAGTCATATGTGAAGACAACGATAAAAAGCAAGAATCTGAGCAGCCCCTTTTCCCTGCACTGCTAGTCGAGCGAACACCTTCTATATATCCAACTGGAGTGCATGCGAGCAACATATTTCAGCCACTAAATGTCAAAAAAAAATATAGGACATTCCTTTTCCAAATTCCACCATCATAAACCAACAGTCGTCACATATATCATGCATGGATACTGACCACAATCCAAATGGCAACCACCAGCGCTTTAGGCGGACACGACAACAACATGCATTCAATATAGACTCTAGTGTCATACATGTTATTGCTGGCAATTCCCTAACGAGAGGAATTTATTGTCACCACATGGCAACATCAGCCAGTGAGACAGTGGCAGTCCATCCATTACCCAGCTCAAACATTGATAAACTTACAGCGAAACTGCAACATTCTAATATCAGCTCCAATGTGTTGAGAACCACGATTCATATCAGAATTAACAACATTATGAACGATAAAATTATCTGACTGAAGGATGTCAACTGACTTAATGACACTGGCACATTACATGCACTATAAAATCTGGCAGTACATCAGAAAAGATTATGACAGTATCTGAATCAAAGTTTAAACACAAAATAATTACCAACACCTGACAAAAAAGAATATAAGAAGAGCAAGGACAGAGAGCAAATGAGCAATGCTAAATTACTCTCACCTTGTAGCAAACTCCACTCCTATGGTGCTCTTGCTCTCTAAATTGAACTCATTGCGAGTGAACCTGGACAACAGGTTACTTTTGCCCACACCTGAATCTCCTATCAACACAACTGTGAAAGAAAGCAAACATATAATTCAAGAATCTCAACTTAACTTGCCAACTTTCTGTAAGGGTTTTTCAGGGTATTTTGTAGCATTTCCAATATTTTACCCCAGCTGTGTTGGGCATATGCAGTGCTTAAGATTTGTGCAAATGTGCATGATTAAACACGCAGGCGTATAATGTGTCGACACACATACATATGATATAAAACATGAATCATACCTACAGACTTTCTATAGACATTGATTATGGTGAATTACAGACGGGTAGACAATGTCAAGTTCGGCCTCTACTATGAAATAAAGATGTGTGCAAGTGGAACACGGGCTGGGTTCGGTAAAGAACTGACATCACAGTACTCAGGACATTCCCATACACACAGTGCCCTCAACTTCAGCAGTAAGTGAAGAGTCTGAATTCCCACGCTAACAGTGGCAGTCTGATTATATGTCTTATCATTATTTTCCTCTGCCGGTGTAGAGTGACAGCTATATTCCCCCCTGAAGCCCCCCCTTCCCTTTCCACCCTGTAATGATCTTTTTGTGCTTCCAAGCATTCACAAAAGTCGCAGTTAACCTCCGGCATCTGGATTTACACACCTGGGAATGCAGGAGTGAAAGGTAATGAAAGAGCCAACTAAATGACAAGTAATGCACTAACGCTATTGGGAAGTGCTGATATCATCAATGCTGTACAGACCACGTTGGGGGATAATGATAAATCGCTAATGCTAACACAACTGGGTGACCTGGGAGTAAAGGTTGGTGAAGCATGTCTAGGTTGTCTTAAAGGTCAATATAGGATAAACTACTTCTCATAGGCAAAATGTGCCTACACCAATGCATGCGGAAAGAAGCATGGAAAAAGCAGATATCAACGTTGTACAGACTGGGCTAGTGGATAGTGACAAATCTGACATTAACACAACTGCGTGACATGGGAGTAAAGCATGTCTATGACACCTCTGAGTCTGACAAACAGGAGACATTATAAGAAACTTCTCATGGAAATAATTAGAAGACATACCTTGGAGTGGCTGCTGCATCAGAGGAGTGAGCACGCATGGGAATGTCCAATTGGCAGTGAAGTGATGTCAATTGTGATAATATAACAATGTGCAGGGATGTTGACTGTGATACACCTGCACTGTTCACTTTCTCCGAAAAAAGCTAACACATATAGCTTGTTATACTATGCAACAGTGGATTTTTGTCGTGGTATGGGACGTCGCAGGTCGACCCAGTCTAAGATGGGTACCAGGATGGGCTGTCCTGGGAAAGTAAAGACAGCCGGCGTAATGCTGACCACATTACCCACAGAGTGCTGATGGTCTGTAAAAATATGGGACGCTCTGCCCATATGCCCGATGCGCCGAAAGGCGTGAAAAGGTAACTTTACTTTACTATGCAATAACAGTACATCCCCAGCCAACTGAAGTAAATTTGTGAGAATAGGATGCCATGGACTGTGTTGCATGGGGAAAAAAAAAAGGGGGGGGGGGTAATCAGAATTAAAGGAAACCCCCCCCCCCTCCCCAATAGACACCTTTCAGCCTTTCATGACATGCTTGTTGGAAAAGCAGCATGGGGTGCAATAGTCTGTTTATTACTTACCCCAAAATAAAGGCTTGGATCTTACAGAAGTAGGCACCATTTGAGAGCCTTACCCCCAAACTTACTCCACAGTCCACAGCAGTGTTACAATCTTAAACTTAACTTTAGGTCTTTCATTTCTGAGCCTTACCCTCAACAGTGATAGTTAGGTGTTACAACCTCAACCTTAGGTCACATATTTGACAGCCTTTCCTTACTGAAGCTTATTAGTGGTGTTAATAGTGAAAACCTTAGCCTTAACTTTTATGAAGTTTATGACTCAGACTCAGTTTTGAGTTTTAGAGTAATTAATTTAGAGCTACACTCAAACTCTAATAGTGAGGTGGGTTACATAATAATAATATAATTAACTTTAGGTTTCCCGTCTGACAGCATTCATCATAACTAGTTACTAACCAGTGTTACTACATCTAAACTTTAGACATTAGAAGGTCTATGAAATTTACAGCCTTTTCCCCACTCTACTTTTACTTTAGGTCTCACAACAACTGACTGAGGCCTGCCTCCAAACCTGAGTCACACACACACACATGACAGTATGACACTGAGTTGCAAATAAATACAATCTTAATTAAACTTCCTCCAAACCACACAGATTGTTACAATACATTCTTAACTATGTAAATGACTTGAGAACCTCGAAGGGGAGATATGAGAAACCTAGTGGCTAGTCTTCTGTTCTTTACTTTAGACGAGACTGGCCTCCAATGCTGAGCCAGCATGAATTATGAAATACCCCATATGATTTTAACGCTGACCTGTGTCACTTATCTGTCGAGTAAACTCAAACATAAAAAGAAGAAATGGTAACGTAATAAATGACTCCACCGTTGCATATTCCACAATTTAGATTCTGCATCTTATTACATGTAACATGAAAGAAAACTTACCCTTGAATAGATAGTCGTATTCGTCGTCTTTAGTCCCCATTTTGATTTAAAAACAAACCAAATAAAAAAAAATAAAAACTTCGCTTCCGCTTTTCCGACGGTCAAAATCAAAAGAAAGTTGTGCTGTTTTTTATGATTGGGTATCAAAATAAAACTTAAATCATAATGTATAGAAACTTATAAGAGCACTCTATAATTTAAAAGATAAAGAAAGTTCCGATGGTGAAGATTAATCAAGAATAAAGTGTCGCTATTTTACATTTCAGGACAATCGATAACAAACATGGCGGAAGTTCAACGCCCCTTGATTCATTGCGCATGAAAGTGACGTCACTTCATTTGACTAGGAAGTTGACAGTTACGGTCCTTACTGCCACCTTCAACTCTCCACAGTCCACAGTCTGTGTTCTCGTCTCAGCTGACGTCCACTGCCCCCTGACCTGGGGACATAGGCCTTTTGATCTCCTCACGCCACCCCAGAAAACGTTTACGAAGGACTGAGCCCTCTTCCCTATAAAACAAATATGTAAGCAGCCCCTCCACACCCAAGAAACCAAGAAAAGATGTTTTATTATTGCAATACATATTGTTCAGAATATTTAATAAGCATTAAGCACATAGTGATAATGACATTATGATTTAATGGCTAACAAAAAGGTTACCGAATGAGACAAGGTCAGATTGTCAGTAGGTATTGCGGAAAATTCAAAATGGACATATACGGCCTTCTTTCTTTTTCTTCTTCTTCGTGTTCACCAGCTGTAAACTCCCACGGAAAGTTCTGGATGTTCATCCACTTTTGGACTGCAGTCCTGTTCCAGAACCTGAGTGTTACGTGTGCATCCGTTTGACAGATCTGACTCGTTTGTATGCAGACTGCTGGTTCCTTGCCTCTCAGGCAGAGGCACTCCGACTTCGAAAGAAGCTCCCAATTAGTCGACTCTTACGACATGCTTTTGGGTCTGCAGTGGGTCTATTCTTGTTTTCCCTATAACAGGGCCCCGGAACCCACACGGGGAATATACGGCCTCAGTGAATACAAAGCATCTCGTCGTCTTCTATGTCTCTTTCGATCTGACACAAATTCTTCTTTTCTATTTTCATTATATGGACAACAATGATATTTGCTTTTGTGGTGCTGAAAAGTTGTCGTTGGGTCTTATATTTTTCAAAAGATCTGGATTACTCAACGTGACTGTCCAATAAATTTCAAGCATATTTTTTTTGCTGTTGTTGTAAAACCGCATCTCTGTATTCTCAAGACAATGCATTGGCTTGTTCAGGATTGAAACCGTATATTATTTTTCCCTGTCCCATTTTGTTCTTAGCAATCACCGGCTGCAAACTCCAACGGAAAGCTCTGGTTGTTCGTCCACTCTTGGGTTTAGTCTTGTTCCAGAACTAGAATTTTGCATGCAAATCAGTTTTATCGATCTGGCTTACTTGTGTGCAGACTGCTGGTTCCTCGACGCTCAGGCAAATTCGTTCCGATTTTGGAGACAACATTCCTGATTATTCGCCTTATACAAAATACTTGTTAGGAAGGCAGTGGGTCTAACCCCCCCCCCCCCCCCCTTTTCCCCATGGGGTTCTGAACCCACAAGGGGATCACACATAATCGCATCCAGAGCTTTTTGTTTTCCTTTTTAAACACAAGTACCGGTACTCATCATAAAGTGTCTAATAAAGGTGCCGGCATTGACAACTAAATGTCTATTACTTTTACAGAAGCGCTGGGGGGGGGACCACGAATCAACGTAAGTAGTTTTATTCCACACGGTCGGCCTTTCTCCGAAGAAAGTTGGGCTGTTAACGACAGCGTCGCAAAAATAACGAGTTTTGGCGACGATCAACACGATGTCAGTAAAATCTGTCCTAGTGAGCCAAACGACGCAATCGGGAAAAGAGCCCACCACCTTCTGAGCGCCAGGCAAACAGCTTGACGACTTTTAGGTGGGGGAAGTACAACATGATGATGATGAAATGAAAACATTCACATTTCAGCCATTTTATCCGAAACGAAACGGATGTAGAAAGGGGCGTTTGTGTTAATGTTATTTAGGATTAATATTTACTTGTAGTTGCTGATAGCTTGCTTCAAATCATAATGGTAAGTTACAAACAAGGGGCTATACATTTTAAAACAAATGATTTAGTATCACTAGCGAAGAGCACCTGCCATTGTGTTGCTTGCTGCACAGTGTAAACTGTTAAAATAGTGAACTGACTGGTCAGCTGACAGTTCATAACTTTAAGAAGTTTGGTTCTACTTTAAAGTGTGCGGTCAGAATTATACTGATTCTCTGGTGTGATGTCTGGCTCCCCTCTTCTCTATAACTGAAAGTGGTGAGGAAAAGATCAAGTTGACTCCAACTTAAAGCTGTCAGCTTCTTTCTTTTCCACTAAATTTGCAAACAAAGCATAAGGTTCTTAATTTATAACGTACCCCAAACACGAAATCCCCGTGGGAAATCCACAGCTGACCTGACAGTCCATTATTTCAAGGGGTGCAAGTGTGCTGTTGTTTGGTGTTTTTTTTGAGTGTTCATCTAGTGTCTTCTAATCCTAACCCTAAACTTGGCTGTAGAGAAATCGCGAGAAACTACAACCTGACCACCCTAGAATTTATTGGGAATGTCTCCCGTGACGTTGTCGTGACGTCAGGGGTAAGTTATAAATCAAGTACCTAAGCATAACCCTCACCCAGCACATTATGCCAAATGTCCCATCCTTTGTTGTTACATTTATCTCACTCCATATCCTGTCCTTTAATCTTTCTACCCTCGCTCCTTAGCATCCTTTTTAGTGTAATTTTTGGCCTGCCTTTATTCTTCAGACCCTGTGAGTTCCAATGCAGTGATGTACTAGCTATATTGTGATGTGTTTTTTTTCAGTGTGTATCATATTCAACTGCAGCATCTTCTCCTCAGCATGTGATTCACAGGAATATGTTTATTTCTCCCCCAAAAGTTCTGCTTGATAACTGCAGCAAGAAAAAGTGTCTAAGTTCTATATAGAAACTTTTTCCACCCAGCCTCAAATTGGTACCAGGTGAAGTCCAAGGAAGTAAAGATGGCCAGTGTGATGCTGATCACCTCATCCACCAAGTGCTGACTAGTTTATAAATATAGGTTGTGCCTTATGTGCCCACTATGCCTGAAGGTGTGCAAAAGGGTCCGTTATTTTTACTTCTGTGCATGTGAAGTATGAACAGCAGAGCATGAAAAGCAGAAATTCTGGACAGTCAGTGTTTTTTTTTCTTTTGGATATGTGATAAGGAATGGACTTGATAACTTGATAATGACTGACAAGATTGGTGAAAGAAGAGCAAGGACAAGAGATAAATATCTAGCTTGGGTGAGACAAGAACATTGAGCTGGTACAAGTTTCTGGCGATCATTTGAAATGGCGAAACATGACAGCCTACATTTATCGGCACGACACATAATGATAATCGTGATAATGAAAGCTCTACAAGAAAGCTGTGAGCTGCCAGAACGAAACAAAAATTTGCTGAGATAATTATTTGAAAGATAAACTTTGTGTATGATGTTTTTATTTTTATCTACAGAGATTTAGATTTTGTGGTGACCTTGATTGCCCAGACTGGGTTTTAGCAGAAATCAATATTTTATCTAAAATTGTAAGTTATCTAGGTTAGTTGTTTTTGACATTGTCATCATTTTCAGCATCATCATCTCATCATCACTGTTTTCATTATTATTATTATTATTATTATTATTATCATGATCACCATACTGATCAATCATTTTAAATTATATTAATAATTACGTAGAAGTTGCATAAGTAGAGTAGCTAGTACATTTTTCTACAATCTCAACAAGACTCTAAAGTCAGAACACTTATGTAGTTGTACCTGAGTAACTGCATTTCTACTCAGAAAGCATGCTGAGGAAGGTGAAGACAGGCATGCTTTATGCAGAGTGGCATGTTTTGTTTCGGAGGTCAGGGGTGAGGAGCATTGTCTGGATTTTTTTCTCTTGGTAATGCCGGTGTGTTGACAAATGAACGGGTAGACAGGCTGACTCGCTCTGCACAAATTGGTGGAATATTATTGTATGATAAGGTAGATGTGGTTAGGGCTTTGTGGGAAAATGAATACAATTTGGAGAATGGATCACCACAATCTGGTGAGAGTGAGGCAGCAGGCAGTGGCTAGGAGATCTGACCGATGCTCCACGCTCAGAGGAAAGGCAAGATGGACGTATAATCAGAATGCTACTGGCACCACTGGTATCGGAACTCTGCACTGGCTGCTGAAGATGGGAACGGAGCGCTAATGGGAATGCCCAGATTGCTGTGATGTCGGTTCTTGAATCAGTTCAGCTCAACTCTGCATTTCTAGTTTCAGACTGTTTGTGTTGGCACTTCTGATGGCTGTTTAATGCATTTAATGCATGTGCATGCAATTGGCTGTTCACCAGACACAATTGTGGACATTTTGTGTGGATTTTTGGGGCACTGGAATGAAGCAAATATGGGGTACCCGTTTGCCATGAAATTGGAATTGCAATTACCTGATTACATAAGGCTTATACATGTACAGAGAACTACAGTAATATATTAATGTAGTTATTATAGAATTATGTCTGTATACATCTGATGGAGATTGCAAGGTGTGTGGAGATATATGATCACCCATGCCAGTAGGCAAGACTGTTAATAATGATAGCTTCTCATACAGCTACAGTCATGCTGTTAAAGTTGTAATTTTTTGTATTTTGTTAAAATGCTTATTATAATGTCAAGAGTTGGTCAGGTATCTCAACTACCATATAACCATAGTTGGTACTACCTTCTTCTTCTGCTTCTTCTTCTTCTTTTTCTTCTTTTCTCTACTCCTGGAATACTTTTTTCGGGGCAGGACGAGGTCTCTGTAATGGGCCCTTCTGTTTACTTTGTATAAATTACTTTTCAGTGTTTTGGATATTTCTGCGGTGTATATTATGAGTGGTCGACCTCTGGCTCTATTACTACTGCATCTTTATAATACTGCTCTTTGTGATGCCTGTCTGGTTACATGACCAAACCATCTCTTGTCTACCTATAAAGTTCAGTATTCGTTCTGTGCTGCCTCTCCTCCTGATATCATCGTTCCTAAGTCGATCTTTTCTCGTTACACCTAGCATTGTACGTAAACATTCTAGTTCCATCGCAACTATTTTCTTTCTGTTTTCTGAAGACAGTGTCCATGTTTGACATTAATAATATAGCATTGGTAAGAATATTGTGTTGAGCAGTGTTCTTTTAGTGTTCATATTCACATGCTTATATTTTAAAATTGGTGCCATTTGGCCTAAAACTTAATTGGCTTTATTGCATCTTTGCTGGATTTCTTTATTAATTCTTCCGTCTTCTGAAAAAAAAATGCTCCCCTGATATGTAAAATCCCTAACTTGCTTTAATTGGTGTTCATAAATTTGGTATCGCTTGATCTTCATTTTCTAAAGATTGTCATAACTTCTGTTTTGTCTACTTTGATCTTCATATAATAGTTACTACCTGTTATCTGTTAATGCAGAATGTTGGGGGGGGGGGGGGGGGGGGGGGGGCGCTAACGCCCAATTTTTGGTGGCATATAGTAAGCCAGACATTCTAGTTTGTGTCAGTGACTTGATTGGCAGCTGCTCTGACAGGTAAGCTCTGACAGGTGAACAGACAAAGCACCCACTTATGTTCTGACAGATTCTGCAGCATGCTTCATAAAAAAAAAAAAATTGTGTTACCTTTGCTTTGGAGTAAACAATACAGACAGAAAAGAAGGATAATACTGAATGTGCTTTACATGGTTTCTACAATATTTCCCAGGCTTTGTCCTGTAGAGAGGGAGGAGTTTTATCCTTGACCTTAATTGCCTGGTATTATGGGCTGTGACTCCTAGGCTTCCTTATAGCACAATTTGACATTATTGTCTGTAAAGATGGAAAAGTGTTAACAGTTAAAAGTTAGTTGCGTATCCTTAACAGGACGTTGCAGAACCAACCCCAGCATTTGTTGGCGTTTGTGGTTATCTAGGCAGATTTATGTCTAGTAGTTTGCCACTGCTTTCTCGATGGTCAGTTTCTCAATGTCACTGTCGAAACCAACGCAAGGCACAATGCCTGCAGCTAGGATGGAACCCAGCACCCAAGCATTACCAAGCGCATTCGCAACCCCTAATACACAGTCGCCCATGTGCTAACAGTACTTAATATAAATAAAGGAGGATTGTTTAATCATCATAAACTTTCAGTATTGTTGTCCACACTGTGGGGAGGAAATGTCATTAGCCCAACTATGGATAGGTTTCACTGACTGTTGCCTTTGGAGTGTTTAATAATGCAATTAAATAGTATTGTATTGTATTCCATTTTTTTCAGACATCAGTTAAAATAAAACTGCTTGCTGTGCAAGTTTTGAAAGATCTGCTAGGTGAAGATTTAGATGTGAGTATACATCATTTGTACTATAGTCACCAAGCAATTTTCTTTTTCTAATTTTTGAAGTTTTGCATTTGTTTGCTTGAGCGTGTATATTCCAGAATTACATATATTTTTACAGGACAAAAATGTAAGACTATTTGGCAAGAAATGCACCAATGCATACAGGAAAAAGCATGGACAGACCTGATATGAGGAACGCTGTATGGATTGAGTTGGTGGATAATGACGAATCTCTGGCACTAACACAGTTGCATGGCCTGGAAGTAAAGCTTGGTGAAATACATCTGTGCAGTCTTTGAGGTCAAGATAGGAGATATTTTAACCAACATTTCATGGGAACAATGAATAGAGATTACCTAGGTGTAACTGCGGCATCAGAGGACTTACACACATGGCAGTGCCCGATGTGCAGTGATGTCAATAACATAGCATACTTCTTCTTCTTCTCTTCACTTCCTCTTTTACCTCTGTGGGTGTCGAGGGAGATATAAGGTTCTGTTTCTAGCTCTTCTGGCCGCCTCGACCATAGGCACATCGTGCTGTTGTAGAGTTTCTCTGATGTTATCCTTCCATCTTGTTCTTGGTCTACTTCGTGCTCTACGTCCTTCTCTTTCCATGTATGCTTTGTATGGTATGGTGTCACAAGGCATTCTCTCTAAGTGGGCAAACCATTTCACTTGCTGTCTTTGAATGTAATTTAGAATTGGTTCTGTGCCGACTTTTTCTCTTATGATCTCATTCCTGATCTTATCTCTTATGGTAACAACATAGTATAACATAATAACATAGTATACAATTGTAAGTAAATGTAATTGAAACCATTTTCATGCCTTTCTTATGTTAGGCAAATTGTACTGTATTAATCTCTTGTAGATTCTGGGACCCTATTTTAGGAGAAAAAAGAATAGACCCACCTAAGAGGTGAAGAACCAGCAGTATGCATGCAAGAGAGCCAGATCTGTAAAATGGATGTGCACTCAGAACTCAAGTTATGGAACAAGACTAAAGTCCAGAAGTAGACAAATAATCAGAACTAGCCACTTGAGTTTACAGCCGGTGTACACAAGGAAGAAGAAGAAGAAGTATACACATGAATTGTAAACAATAGGCAGACAAAGTGAGAAACACGTACACAATGGCAAGATTGCCAACATAAGCAACAACAGTACAAAGTAGAAGAGCATTGGCTAGTAATGTATGAACATAACAACATGTAAAGACAGTGAGTGATTCATGTCATCTGTTGCTTGTTCTTTCCAGTATGAGAAAGTCCAGAAACTGACCTCAGATGCCAAGTTTGGTGAGTGTTTTTGCTGGTTATCTGCTCGTATTCCCTTATGCTGGTTCCAGAGCTTCATTTTTAAGTATTGAGTTGGTGGGGGGGGGGGGGGGGGGAGGGAGATGGACCCACTTCTTTTCTTTTCCTTTGTCTATACTCTGCTTTGTGCCGCTAGGTATCACAGGTTAACAGATGATCAATAGCTAGGACATGCTCAGTTACCTGGTATGCTGTGATGTTGTATATTTGTTGTTGAATCAATTGCACATTTTTGTTCTCAGAATAGGACTTGTAATGAGGCTGCATCTTACACAACATAGGTAGACATAGAGGTACAGTTATTTTTCATACATGCATGCGATATGGGAAAGATGCCTATTTATAAACCATAACAATAACATTTTAAGGGTGAACTCAGAAGAATAAGTAGAACTATAGCCTCTAGCTTTAGGATTGGAGGGGAGCCGTGGTTAGCATAGTTGCTGTATGCTTGCCTGCGAGGCAGGGGGTAAGAAGTGTTGGTGTTGTGGGTAGTGGGTTCCCCCCCCCCTTACTTCACCCTAGGTCTAGTGAATATCTGTTCACGAAAGGAGCGTCCATTGTGGTGTCAGCCTCTTGACCTAGCAAAACCTCTCTTACCTCAAGACCATTGTGCGTGGCGAAGAGTCACAGCCTCCCCGAGGTAGTCCTGGTAACTGGGGGTGCGAATCCCCAGGCAAAACACAATGGATCTAGAGGAGCAAACCTCGATAATAAACCCGGTGCACCACACCGTACTGCCCCCTGTGGGAGGGAAGGAGCCAGAGGTGTGCTGAACAGTCTTAGGAATGGAAACAAGTATGCTAACCCCCCTGAATACCGGAAACTATCGTGAAGGCACAGGGACTCAGGACGTGACGATCCAGTTGCCCCAACTACTCATGCTTAGGCCATGCTTAGAGCCATGAAGAGCTCAGCGAAACCTGCAGGCAATCTGATGGCGGGGAATGAGCACACTGTGAGCCCCATCTTAGCTACGTATTAAAGGGGAAGGCAGAAACACAACCCATATTTCCTTTAGAACTGGTACAGGGCATTTCTAGCTGCTGCCCGGGGAGGTAGGTAATCCACAGACACCCCAGCACCACAATGATATGAATATGCTTGCCTGCCAGCCCAAAAGATCTCAGGTTTGAATCTACATCAGTCGGATTTAAAAAATGTATTGGCTGTCCAGTCGTCCCCTATCTTAATGGGTCCTGGCTATAGTCATGGGGAGTAAAGGCAGCCAGTGTGATGTTGACCACATCGTACATTGAGTGCTTAGTCTATAAAATGCGGGAGTAGCATCATATGTCTGATGTGGAACTGGCAAAAGAAGGGTCCTGTTGTGATATTTGTTCTTTCCGTTACGTGAAACTATTGAGCCATTTCTGCTGGTATGAATAAGTCTATCAAATGTCAGTTCCTTAAAGAAGGAAAACAAGTATACTTCTCAGCAGATGTGAAGTTCAAGTACTGGCCTTGCACACTCTGCTAGTTCTTGTGTCTAGAGAAGGGAAGAAGAGCTCAGAATTACATCGCATTAAAACTGGCACTTAAATACTGGTTAAGGAGAACATCTAGCTGCTGTGCTTCTGCCCCCCACCATCACTCTCTCAAGATGCCAACAGGCCAATAAAAACTCAGCTGCAGTAGGAAAGTTGTTATATAAAAAGAACTTGTAATCTTATTCAGGCTTTTTATGTAACCAATTTGTTTCCATTGGTTCCCAGGCTCACTTAGCCTAAAATGAACATAAAACCACATTGTGTCTGCTACCATCAGTGTTGGAACTCTGCGCTGGCTGCTGAAGATGAGGACAGAGCATGCATAGGAATGCCCCAAGTACTGTGATTCAATTCTTGACTCAGCTCAACGCAACCTAGCCCAAAATTACAGGAAATGTCTTGGGCAGTAAAGATAGCTGGCACATTTAGTCCATCAGGTGCTGATTTGTTATTTAAAAAAAAAAAAAAAACAAACAATGGAGCCTGGCATAATATGCCTGTTGCTACACTGGCATGAAAAAGGTCCTTTACTCACCTGCAGCTGATTTTGCATGATATGAAACTTACTTGAAACAAAGAAGAAACTGAAACAAGTTTAATTTTAAATTGTGATTATTCTGATAAACCACAGAAACTGGTGACATCAAGGCATCGATTGCAGCCTTAACCTTCATCCTATCCAGTGCAGCAAAATACGATGTTGATGCAGAGACACTGTCGAATGAGCTTCAGCAGCTAGGATTACCCAGAGGTAACATAGTCAGACCACCATGACCAGTCAGTCGTAAACAGATAACCAGATATAAGTAAACTATGGCTTGTCAGGGCGAGTGAACTCACCTATCAGGTTATTGTCATGAAACTTTGACTGATCTAGCAAGAAAGAGGCAATCTACACTCTTTGGTCATGTGATGTGAAGGAGAAAAGTGTAGTACATAGTAGGAAAGTTGGAGGGAAGGAGAGGCACAGGGAGACCGAGAGAAAAGATATTGGACATTTGACATCATGGCATGGAGGATCATCTGTGTCAGAGTTGATTGAAAGTACACGAGACAGAAGGTTGTGGATAGACATGACTACCAACGCCACACTGCCGGCATGGACTTTAAGAAGAAGATCTAGCATGCTGGCATGGGTTTACTAATGCCTATATAAATAAGATCACCATGTGGGTTTTGGGGTCTCATTTTAATAGAAAAAGAATAGACCCACTGTCCCCTAACCAGTGTGTCATAAAAGGCAACAAATTGTGGTATTTGCTGAAAAGTATGATGCTTCTGCCCAAGAGGTGAGGAACTAACAATAGGCATACAGATAAGCCAGATCTGTAAAATGTATTTGCAAGCAAAGCAAAATTTCTGAAACAAGGTCAAAATCCGGAAGTGGATTAACAACCAGAAGTTTTTGCTTGAGTTTACAGCTGCTGAACAATCAGAGGCAGAAGAAGAAGAAGAAGAAGAAAAAGAAGAAAGAAGAAGAAGAAGAAAAAGAACGAGAAGAAATATGGTGGAGTATAAAAGGTCGTTAAACTCTGCTGCTAGTAGAGAGTACATCCTAAAAAGAAGGTTGAGCGATTGTAAGAAGTTCAGCAGCACTAGTGTATCAAGAAGCTGAAGAATAAACTGGGATAAACACAAGTCCGAAAACCATAAAGTAACAATAAACAGCTATAGAACAAAATTACATGAATGTAAATACAGCAGCAGTAAAGTAGCAACAAAAATAACAACAACAACATACACAAAACAGCCGTAGGACGATGTTGCATGAATTTAAACAGTTAAAAAAAAAAAAAGACACCAATAAAATAACAACGATCTGCAGAACAAACCTGCATGACTATGAGCACAAAACAGTCGAAACTGAAAAACATCCTGCATATTCAGAAGTATTTTTTGTTGTGTAAAAAAAAAAAAAAAAAAAAAAAAGGTGCTGATACTCACAATAGAATATCTAAATGTTTAATTTGCCAAAACTCGCCAGTGTTCTTTACAGTGATGCTGAAAAAAAAGATTCCTAATAAAAGGTGTCGGTTCTGCATACTGTTGCTTACCATAAGAAAAAAGTCCTGTTTATTATTTATTACAGATGTATTACATGAATGATAGAGATATTGAGGTGGATTCCTGGAAACAGGATGCCGTGAACTTTGTTGCCTGAAGGGGGAAACAGAGTAAATGATTACAGATAGGTTAAGGCTGAGCATTTGAAAAGAAGCAGATTAAATACATGCAGTGGTCATGAAATACCAGGCTTTTCTTCATCTTCTTTTCTCTACTCCTGGAATGCCTCATGGGGTCAGGGCAATAAGAGATAGAAATCTAGCATGTGCTCTTCTGTTTGCTTCGTATAAAGTACTTTTCAGTGTCTCTGGTATTTCTGCGGTCCATTTTCTGTGTGGTCAATCTCTGGATTTGTTACTGTTGTATGTGAATAACATTGCTCTCTGTGGTGCCCTGACTCATATCAATCTTTTTACATGGCCAAACCATTTGATTTGTTGTCTACCTGTAAAGTTCACTATTATTTCTGTGCCAACTCTCCTCCTTATATCATTATTTCTAAGTTGATCTTTTCTAGTCACACCTAGCATAGTATCTAAACATTTCATTTCTGACGTGACTTGTTTCCGTGTCTTCTGAAGACAGTGTCAATGTTTGACATTGATAGCATATGGTTGGTAGGAACATTGTGTTGAACAGTGTTCTTTTAGTGTTCATATTCACATGCTTGAATTTCAAAATTGGTGCCGTTTGGCCTAAAACTTAATTGGCTTTATTGCATCTTTGTTGGATTTCTTTATTAATTCTTCCGTCTTCTGAGAAAATGCCTCCTAGAAATGTAAAATCCTTCGTCTGCTTTAACTGGTGTTCATCAGTTTTGATATTGTGGTTCTTCCTTTTCTGGAGAAAATACCATGCTCTAATTGTGACAGTTTAAAAAAATTGAGAACAGGTCTTGCTAGTTAAACTTGCCATCACCATGGCCTCTGATTCCTGTATCTTCTAATGGCACACTATAACACTATTCTCCCAAAATGGCGAGGTAAACACACCTTGGTTAACATTCTGTGGGATGTAATTGTGTGTGTTATTATGTGTTTTTAGACATCACTGTATTCAGATAAGTATGATCCTGCAATAGGCTCAGCAGGCCGGTAGGGAATTTATTTGTCCACGTTAAAGAATTATGGAGGAATTTGAAAATTCTTCAAGAATCAGAAGATTAAGTGGTTTGGCCATCTCGATAGAATGCAGCAGAATCAAGTACCATCACAAGCACTACATCTCAGAATATTAGCTACAAGAGCAAGAGGATGGCTGTGAAAAAATATAGATTGAAAACATTAAAGACACTATGTCTTGTGTGTACTGGATCACAAATTATTCCTTCCCATAACACTTTACAGCACAAGTGGTTTATCATGATGATGATGTAACAGTATTTAACTGGACAGACATAAAGAGGTCAACAACTCATAAAAAGAACCAAGTGCAATAAAACAAATTTGCATGCAGTGTAGCAGTAGTGCTTTAACAAGCAACAAGCTGTTTAGCATTTTTGTGATACTTCACAGAACACAGCACATCTGTGTGCAGATCCTACTCTGATGGCTTGGGACACCTTCAGGAGCACTTCAGACGTACCAGCCTCCGAGGTAGGTTTTCTGTTTTAAAATTTAATACAAATTACTTTCCTCGGATATCACACACACCTCCATTCATCTGTTTGATTCGCCTTCTACGTCCAGTGGGTGAGTCAAAATGTTTACAAGTCTCCTTGGATATTCTCTCTCCAGTCCTCTTGATCTACCTCATGGTCTGTGGCTATTCAACTCCCTTGTGTACACAGTTTTTGCCTCTCTAGTCTTCTTGGTCTGTCTCATGGTCTGTGGCAATTCAACTCCCTTCAGTACACAGTTTTTGCCTCTCTAGTCCTCTTGGTCTGCCTCATGGTCTGTTGCTATTCAACTCCCTTGTGTACACAGTTTTTGCCTCTCTAGTCTTCTTGGTCTGTCTCATGGTCTGTGGCCATTCAACTCCCTTGTGTACACAGTTTTTGCCTCTCTAGTCTTCTTGGTTTGCCTCATGGTCTGTGGCAATTCAACTCCCTTCAGTACACAGTTTTTGCCTCTCTAGTCTTCTTGGTCTGTCTCATGGTCTGTGGCCATTCAACTCCCTTGTGTACACAGTTTTTGCCTCTCTAGTCTTCTTGGTCTGTCTCATGGTCTGTGGCCATTCAACTCCCTTGTGTACACAGTTTTTGCCTCTCTAGTCTTCTTGGTTTGCCTCATGGTCTGTGGCAATTCAACTCCCTTCTGTACACCGTTTTTGCCTGTCTTTTGCCATTCTTTTTTGTATGGCCCAGTTATGTCAGTCTATTAACTCTCGTGATGCCAGTGATCAGTGGTGACTTAAAACAGATTATGTGTGTCATTGATTATGTATTTGACGAGGAAAAATGACACAATTTACCTTCGTATGGAGGCTGGAGCAAGAGCTGTGCCGCATATCGTGACATGGAATAACTGGAAATGTCCTGAATGGATACTTAATCCATCTAGCAGGCTGCATTTGAGGCAGATAATCCTCTTGCCTTCAGACAGAACTTCATGCTGTCCCTCATGACCACTAATTTCTGACTTACTTTCTTACACTACTCACTAATTTCTGACTTACTTTCTTACACTACTCACTAATTTCTGACTTACTTTCTTACACTACTAACTGTCGATTAGTGATATACTTGAATCTACAGCATCATTTGCTGTGTCAGTTTAAGTGCTTATCAAGACGATGAATGAGATGATTTTCTAAGGAGAGATGTCTGATTTGATCCCCGAAGCAAGAACACAAATACAGCTAAATGTTTTCAACTACAGATGCTAATTATCTTCTTCTTATAGTCCATGCATGTGGCATTGGTAGTCATGTCGATCCACAGCCTTCTGTCTCATGTACTTTCAGTCATTTCTGAAACAGATGATCTTTAGTGCCATGATATCAAACTTCTCTCTGGGTCTCCCTCTGCTTCTGTTCACCTCCAACTTTCCCACTATCATGACATACTCCAGATTTCTCCTTCTCATGACATGACCAAAGAATTTAGATTCTCTCCTTCTCATGTGACCAATCAGTTATTTTTGTGCTGGAGTCTTTTAAGATCTCTTTCTTACTATTTGTATCTCTCCATGGTGTTCTCATCATTCATCTTTAAAATTCCACTGCTTCCACATAATTTTCAACTTAGTGGCCAACTGTACATGATTCAAGGTTAATTATACAACAGGATGCTCTCTGGCCGACATGTTCAGTTGTTTTTTTTATTTCTGTCTTCTTTTTCCTCTTTTGAGCTTTCTAGTTGGTGTTGTGTTGTTCCTTTTTTTTTTTAAAGTAGCAACGTTATTGCAGTAATTTTTTTTTTAGTCTGTCTATCTGTTGTCCTTTCCATCAAGATTCTTCTTCCTCTTCACGTCCTTTTTTATTGTGTCAGGTATCAGCTGTTAGGTGTCGTGCATGCGCACCTAATGATTGGTTTCCAGGATAGTACACGCTCGTTATCTTGCTGCATGATGATATTGTTGAGTTTCAGCAAGTTTTCAACTCCTTCTATCCATACCTTCTTGGTCTTCCTCTGCCTCTTGATGTTTCCATTCTGATGTTGTTTGCACTTTCAAACATGGATGCTTTTTTTTTTTTTAACATAAAGGCAGATTAGTTTGCCTGAGAGATTCTGGGCACATGGTCTCACCATTGATTATGTTTGTCAGTTTCAGGTCTTGACTCTGTTCAGTGGAGGGTGGATTATGTTTTGAGCTCCAGTGAGTTACAGGTAAGTTTGTTTAAGGCTTCAAGTTCATTTTCTCTTCTGTTCTTTGAGCTCCAGTGAGTTACAGGTAAGTTTGTTTAAGGCTTCAAGTTCGTTTTCTCTTCTGTTCTTTGAGCTCCAGTGAATTACAGCTAAGTTTGTTTGAGGCTTCAAGTTCGTTTTCTCTTCTGTTCTTTGAGCTCTAGTGAGTTACAGGTAAGTTTGTTTAAGGCTTCAAGTTCATTTTCTCTTCTGTTCTTTGAGCTCCAGTGAGTTACAGGTAAGTTTGTTTAAGGCTTCAAGTTCATTTTCCCTTCTGTTCTTTGAGCTCCAGTGAGTTACAGGTAAGTTTGTTTAAGGCTTCAAGTTTGTTTTCTCTTCTGTTCTTTGAGCTCCAGTGAGTTACAGGTAAGTTTGTTTAAGGCTTCAAGTTCATTTTCTCTTCTGTTCTTTGTTCTCCAGCTGAGTATAACGCCTTAGCCAACTGATACCAGGGCTTTTAAACGTGTTCCAGCTAAAACAGTTAATCTAAACCACATTTTCACAGCCAGTAGATGTCATTCAGTTTGTCTGCTTAACTGTCCTTATTTTATATACATAGAACTTTTTCAAAAAATGACCTTGACTCCCAGGTCGACCCAGTTTTGAGTGGGTACCAGTCCTGGGAAGTAAAGGGAGCCGGCATCACACACCAAGTGCTGATCGGTCTGTAAAAAATTTAGGTCTAGCCCTATATTCCCAATAAACCTAAAGGCGTGGAAAAGGAACCTTTACTTTATTTACGTTTTTATCAATATACAACAGCAACATCAAGGTTCCTCTTCATCTTCGCCTCGTCTTTTACCGTGTCAGGTGTCGAGAGAGATACAAGGTTCGGCTTCTTGCAGTGTTTGCCTTGTATGGGGTGACGTCACAGGGCATTCTCTCTAAGTGGACAAACCACTTGATTTTCTGTCTTTGTATGTAATTTAGAATAGGTTCTATGCCAACATTTTCTCTTCTGACTTCACTCTTGCTTTTATCTCTCCTGGTCACTCCTGCAGCTTTACTCATACAGGAGAAACCCTTCCACCAAGGGTAGTAACTTCATATTGTTCTAAGTAAAAAAAAAAAAAACCTTTTCAGACCATTGGTGCATATTGCCGTATCACCATTTTAATGACCAACGGTCACTTCATAGGTCTTGTAAGAAAAAAGTAAGGGGGCCCTTTTCCAAGCTTTTCAGGCATATTGGTTATGTAGGACTAGACCTGTATTTTATAGACCAAACAGCACTTGGTGGGTGATTTGGTCAGCATCATGCTGGCTGCCTTTACTTCCCAGGACTGTACCTGGTACCCACTCAAGGCTGGTTCGACCAAGGTCATTTTTGAAAAAAAATTTGGCTTTTGTCAGGAACCGAACCCACGACCTTCCGATCCGCAAAGGGGGAATAATAACAAAAATAAGAAGAAGAAAAAAAAGATGAAGAAGAAAAAGAGCAGCAAAAACAATAGTAATAATAATAATAATAACAATAAAACAAATCAACAGAAAGAAAAGAAAGGAGAAAGAGAGTGAAGAGAAAGTAGAAGAAGCAACCATTGCTTTTCAGTCATTCTTGGAACAGTAGTTTTTTGTTATTGTCACATGTAAAATACTTACACATACTTTTATCTCCTGATGAAACAGAATGTGAATGAACCAAGTGTGCAAATCAAACTGGATATAAAACAGTCAGATTCTGCTGAGCCAGAACCGGTTGCTTTTACCTTGACAGCAGACAAGTTCCGAGTCTTGCTTCATGGTAAGAAATGTTTGTATATGAGCCACACACAAAAATAGCACACCTGTGTTTACCGCCTGTATGTACCACAGGTCGGCTTCTGTGGTTTAGGCGTTGTGAATGCGCTTTGTAATGCCGGGGTGCCGGGTTCGATCCCAGCTGCAGACAATTTGTCTTGCGTTCGTTTCAACAGTGATACTGATAGCTGATCATTTAGAAAGCAGTGGCAAACTACTGAACGTAAAACTTGCCTACAAAAACCACAACAGCCCAAAAAAAATGCTGGGGTTGGTTCAGCGACATCCTGTAAAGGATTCGCAACTAGCTTTAATGTACCACTGTTAAGGGTGGTTTAGTTCAGCTGCATGGCTCTTGAAGTCGCCACAGACCACTGGAGTTTATAGCTGGTAAACGGCAAAAAGAAAAATAATTATTGTTTTTTCGCTTTTAATTTGCAGAATTAAAACAAGCTAAAATGCTATAGAGAATATACAGAAATTGTTAGACAGATTTTATTTCCATGGTGTACGTAATTAGAAAGAAAAGATATTATGTTAAGATTAGCAACAGGTATTCTTTGCCCCAGCAGGAAAATCCTTATACATCACCTCACTGAGGTTTTAACCCTGAGTGTGAAGAATAAGAGCCTTAACTGGTCAGCCCGCTGCTCGTGGTTTTAAAATGTTTTAAATTGATCACAGCCATAGTGGTACACTGGCTAGTGTGCTTGACTACCAAATCACACTAGTCTAGGTTCAATCCCCAGAAGTCCCCCATGCTTGTTCTGGGGCCACATTTTGGGGGAGAAGAGAATAGACCCACAACGTTCTCCCCCCTCCCCCCACCCCTCCCCTCTTTTCAATTAGCATGTTGCAAAAGGTGACTAATTAGAGGTTTTTCCTGTTGAAGTCAAGAGTGCATTTGCCTGAAAGACGAGGAACTAACAGTCTGCATACAAATAAGCCAGGTCTGTAAAATGGATTTGCACACAAAACTCAAATTCTTGAACAAGTCCAAAAGTGAATGAACAACCATGACTTTCTCACAGAGTTTACAGGTGGTAAACACAAATAAAGAAGAATCCCCAGAAACATTGGATAGATTTTTGATGGGTTTGGGATTGTCACAGTTTTTGGGATTTGAAAGTTGTCTAGGAGGAAAGATGATCAGAAAGATAACTGAATAGTTTATTCTCTGATGTTCGATGTCTCAATAGATAGAGACATTTTTTTCTTTCTTATGTCTTTAAACAGGAGATAATTGTGTCCTCTGTTTAGATTTCTTGATGGAGAAGATAATGTTACTGTTATGTTTCCCCTGTTACCTAGATTGTGTTAGCCGTCACCTTATAGGATCAAATTTTTGTTTGAAGCCCCACCCTGGCTTCTGCCGGGGGGGGGGGGGGGGGGGGGGGCCCTGAATACAGCCGGGACATAGATGTGGCCTAGCCATAGATATGACCTAACGGCTAAACAGGGTTTCTGTGACCTCTCCACGGGTGATCCTCATCCATATGGTGGCACTCTGTGTCGTCGGGTGTTTATCGCTTGTGTGATGTCATGGTCGGGTACAACTACCTACCTACCTACCCCTGTTACCCCTTGTTGTGAAAGCTGTTAAGAAATGAAAAAAGACTTATGAACTATTTTAGCCATATAAAAAAAAAACCACACACAACACTGTTGTAAAAAGCATACCAAAGGTAGATGAGCAAGAGGTAAATAGCTGTAAAAATGGAAAGATAGCATCAAGAGATGGACACCAGCAGTCTGATGTACAACCAAGACAAGACTTTTTCTTTTTCTACATTCACCCTTAATTGGTGGTTGACACTTCACATTGTGGTTTGCAACAAGGCTACATATCTGTGCCTTTCAACCCAACACGTCAGATCTCAGCTAACCTTTAATTAGTTAGCCTTTATAAAATGTTGATCCCCTTGTGGGTTCCAGGATCCCATTGTGATGGGACAAAAAAGATAGACCCACTGCCCCCTGACAAGTGTGTATTAAGAGTCTACTAATTAGGGTTTTTCCTTTAAAGTTGTAGTGCATCAGCCTGTGAGGTGAGAAAGCAACAGTCTACATACAAGTAAGCCAGATCTGTAAAACGAATGTGCACACAAGACTCAGGTTCTGGAACAAGACTAAAGTTGAGAAGTGGATTAGTGGACCAGAACTTTCCATTGAAGTTTACAGCCGGTGAACGCAAAGAAGAAGATAAAATGTTTATGGTGTGCAATTGGTCTATTACCCCTCCCACTGCATCCCACATAAGGCTCTAAGACCTTCATGGAAAGACCAGAGGGAGAAAAATTCTGATTTAACAACACAGCTATCCTGCATTGTGGGGATGCCACCTGAAGGAATGATTGAGGGATTACAGCCATATGTGAATTGCCATTTTTATATGGACAAATGACACTTACGTCAGATTAATTGTTGTACATGCTTTTCATTTGCAGAATTGAAACAAGCTCAAAGTGCAATGGAGAATTTACAGAAATAGTTAATTAGATTTTATTTCCATGGTGTACTTAATTGCAGAGTAAACATATTGAATTAAGAATAGCATCACGTAAAAGATACGGTGATGCAATCTTTCCATGATTGTCTTTCTTTAAGGCAAAGAAAGAAAGAAGTAATCAGATATGAAGACAAAATAAGCAGATGATAATTTCCTTTTCAAATAAGTAAAAGAGAGTAAGGACTCTTTTCATGTCAGTGGCAGTTGGGAATATGATGCTAAGAGTCATATTTGTGTGATCTCGATGGAGGGGAACAGAGACAGAGGAAACTAAGAAAGAAGATGCTGGACAATTTAACATCAAAGCAGGGAAGGTCCTCTGTGTCAGAATTGGTTGGGGGTACATGAGACATAAAGTTGTGGATAGACATGACTACCATCGCCATGTGTCGTGGACTAAGAAGAAGAAGACGGATGTTAAGGGTTAGCACCCCGCCAGTTACTTTACTTCCTAGGTCATTAGTTGCTCCTTATTTTAAGCAAAACCTGGGAGCTGAGGTCAGTTTTGAAAAAAAAGGGTTCTTAATTAATAACGTACCCCAAACACGAAATCCCCGTGGGAAATCCACAGCTGACCTGAGAGTCCATTATTTCAAGGGGTGGAAGTGTGCTGTTGTGTGGTGCTTGTTTTGAGTGTAAATCTAGTGTCTTCTAATGCTAACCCTAACCCTAAACTTGGCTGTCGATAAATCGCGATAAACTACAACGTGAACACCCTATAATTTATTGGGAATGTCTCCCGTGACGTTGTCGTGACGTCAAGGGTAAGTTATAAATTAAGTACCAAAAAAAGGTTTTATGCAATGATGTGGATTCAAAACCTATCGGCTAGGAGGAAAATAGTGCATGCAGCCAAAAGGTTGAGCACCTTTAAACTGGAAAGTTGAATACAAATGCCATTAGACTATTACTGGAAAAGGATAGACAAGTGAGATAATGGATGAGGTTGTGTGGCAGGAAATAGCTTTTTTTTTGTTATCTCCATTGTGTGTATGATTACATTTTGCATGAATGAACTTTATTAAACAGTGTGTGATGTATAGTGCATTTGTATGGTTTTTTTTTCTTTTTTTTTTTCTAAGTTGTAGTGATTAGTCAGGACTATCATCACAGCACTTCAGACAGATCTGGTGTGCTGATGTCCATCTCTGTATCTTCTTCTGTTCCCTACTCCTGGAATGCTTCGCAAGGTCATGGCAAGAAGACATCTTGGTAACAGACCTTTCTGTTTACTTTATGTGTAATACTTTTAAGTGTCTCCGTGGCCCATCTTCTGTTTGGTTGATCTTTGGCTCTATTACAGTTGTATCTGTATAATGTTGCTCTCTGTGGTGCCCTGTCTGTTGCCAATCTTGTTACTTGACCATACCATTTGAACTGTTGTCGACCAATAAAGTTTCACGGGATCAGTAGCTCTATATGCATAAAAAAGACTGATAGTATAGTCGTTATTATTGTACACCAGAGGAAGAGAGGAGGATACCATCTCAGCTGCACATATTCCTTTGCAAGATATGGTCACTAACACCAAACCAGAAAAGAAAATTAGTAACCATGGTAATGAGGAGTCTACGAAAGATTGCAAGAGTGATCAGAAGAGATAAAGTCAGACATATAAAAACAGCAAGTAAATTGGTCTGCCCAGTGAGAGAGAATGCCTTGCAACACCATACCATATAAGGAGAGGGATGCAGAGCAAGAGGTAGACCAAGAACAAGATGAAATAATAACATCAGAGAAACTCTACAACAACCCGATGTGTCTATGGTCAAGATAGCCAAAAGATCTGACTTGGGAAAATTGCCATATTCATACTTTCAGCATTCTCAGCTCTGCAGGGATCAGTGTTCAACATTCTGATAACAAAATATTATCCACCCGAGCCTTCGAAGACTGGACGTTGAGAATACTCTTTCCAGTACTTCCAGTTTTGTAATCCCGACTTGCCACTTCTCACCACATTTTCTTCTTAGTTAAAACCACACAAAAAGAGATCAATGCTAGGGTTTGTTTGCACAGTCCTGAAAGGGATCAATGAACTTTGTTTGAACTTTCCTATCATTCCTTACCCATGAGTCTGCAGGATACACCACTCTCACTGATGCTCTAATGTAACTTCCTTGGAGGTCTAACAAGGTATCTGGGATTGGAACTTTAGAAGTTAAAATGGCTGGTCAAATCATCAGATAGCAGCACAAAGAAGGGAAAGGGGAGAGTCGGCGTGTGTGGCTTAGATGTTGCGAACATGATTCGTAATACTGGGGTGCCGGGTTTGATCCCAACTGTGAGTGATTTGGCAGCAGACTGCCTTCCGTTGGTTTTGACAATGGTATGGAGATCGACTGTTTAGAAAGCAGTGACAAACTGCTGAACATAACATTGCATAGTGAAATCCCAAGCAGTGTGAAATGGCAGGGGTTGGTTCTGCAATATCATGTAAAGAATACGCAACTAACTAATCAAGAGGAAAAACAAAGACACTGTCTTACATTCTATTTATATATACATACTGCTGAAGGCTTACAGAACGTGATTTATATAGATAACTTCTTTATATAGTAGCATTCTTTATATTGATGGCATTCTTCAAAAGAACAGTCTTTTCGTTGATAACATACTTCATATGGATAAGGGTAATTCTTTAACGGTTCTTCTATTGATAAGATTTACTATTAACTGTGGGGGATGGGGGGGGGGGGGTGGTGGAGATAAAGTTTATTCTTTAATTGTTTTTGAAGTGGATAAGGTTAATTTTATAACTCTTATTAGACGGATAAAGTTAGTTACTTAACTCATTAGAAGGCGAGTAAAATGGTTAATTCTATTACTAGTGTGGGATGGACAAGGTCCTCATCATTTCTACCGCAGTAAATGGGCAACTGTGGCATTCCTGGACACGAAGCATCAGCACGTCTATATTACAAGCAAGCATCTACATTCTACACCAATGGTATTCCTTTAAGTTTACTCAGGGGTCAGCATTTTTAACATTAGCGTCGTCACGGACCAGAGGCTCAAGCCCCAGCCAACGCCTTCTCTAAAAATGCCTAACAACTAAATCGCGTCACTTTTTAAAGGAGTCCCTCGGAAACTGATTACTGGAAGCCCTTTCCATGTGTTGCATCATGGGACATTTTAATGTGCTTACAAAGTTCTGTGTTCTGAATGTATTCGTATTACAAACCGACAAGCGGATATTGTGAAGTGGATATACACGATATTGCTTTTATACGGACTCTGCATAAATAGTGCAACTACACAGTGGATAAATAGTGTCAAGATATTTAAGAGCTCTGGGTAAGTGGATGAAAACAATATTTAATTGACTAACTAACCTGTCACAGCTAGTCACTCTTTACCTCTTTACTAATTGTTGACTAACAGTATAATTATATGTTGTAGAAGTACACTAATAATATTAATCCTCAACCATTTGTGTTCATTTTTGTGAATTGTATTATGCTTTGCGAACACTGGCTGTAAACTCTGGCAGAAACTTCTGGTTGTTCATCTACTTCTTATGCACATTTGCAGTTGTACAGTCTGTGTTCATTTTGGTGAATTTTCTTATGCTTCGCGAACACTGGCTGTAAACTCTGGCAGAAACTTCTGGTTGTTCATCTACTTCTGGGCTTTAGTCTTGTTCCAGACACTGTTTTGAACAACGAGATCCGGTATCTATATGGGGAATTATTGTGTTTCATATGTGTATGTTGCTCAGCATTTGCAGTTATATGGTCTTTTTAAATTTGCTTTAATTACCTTTAAAATAATATACCATTCATTATACTTATAGGCGTTGTTGCATGCAGTATTCAGAAATGTGTGTGATGTATTTATAAACAGTTACCAAAAAATTCACAATGATAAAGAATTGATTTCATCCAGCAAGATGAAACTGGACAAATTTGTTTATGCTGTTTGTACAGTGAGGATAAATATTTAATAGTGCTATGAGTACTGTTAAGAAAACTGCTCTGTGTGAAAAATTATTGCACATATCAATTTCATATTGACTGTGCTTGTTTACTAATTATTAAATAACAGCATAATTATATGTTGTAGTAGTCTACTAAGGGCCTGAACCCACAGCCTTCGCATCCGCAAAGGACCCCTTTTCACGCCTTTCAGGAGTATTGGGTATATAGGGCTAGACCTATATTTTATAGACCAAACGGCACAGGGTGGGTGATGTGGTCAGCATCACGCTGGTCGCCTTTACTTCCCAGGACTATACATAGTATATACCTGGGGCGAGAGTCTAGACGCTAGGCCACGGGGGCTGTCATTTGTAATAAATAGTAGACAGTAACAATTAATAGAATAATACTGCATTTGTTTCTTTTGCATTAGAAAGTATAATCGGGGATTACTGCATTTAATGCACACCTCGCTACTGGATAAATGGATCAATCACACATACACGCAGTCCCAGAACAAAGGATTCAACAGCAGACAATCTGAATTTTAACTTTTAATGAAACAAATATAACTTAATGGGAGTCACACCCCCCCCCCCCCTTTTCCCCAAAGAAAAATCTTAGAACATCTACATAGTTTAGTATATTGTGTTTATTATTAAATAGAATGGCACAGAATTTACAAGTACTGATTCTTTAGCAATAAATAGGGCACTAGAACAGAAAATAACTACATGTGAAATGTGCCGTCTCCGCAAGGTTACTAACAACACAAGAAGAGACAGGGTTACGAATACCAGCATAAGAGAGAAAGTTGGAATAAGACGACATCTGGATTATATTGACAAATAAAGAATGAAATGGTTCAGCCATCTAGCGTGAATGCAGCCAGGCCAGACTGCACATGAGACTTTTTTTTAAACAGTAGAACATCTGGGAATAAGGCGAGATTAAGATCATGAAAGACATGGATAAATGGTGTAGCTAAAACCTGCAAAAAGATGACAAAAATTGGAGAAGGGCAAGACAAACACAAAAAACCACGACAATGGGCTACAACCA